TATATATATATATATATATATTTATTTATTTATTTATTTATATAGCCCTGGAGTACAATATGTAATTACAAAATTACTCATGTACCGTACCGCGATTGGCATTGCACCGCACCCCCAACCCAAATAACAAAACTCACTTGATTTGACAGATGCATCCGCACCAGTCCGCTCGCAAGCTCCGCTACGCTCGCTCGCTCCGCTCTGCTGGCTCGCTCCGTTCTGCTCTAGTATTTGTCCCTTATTTGGTATATGAGTTATACCTAACAAATAACCACTTTGGTAAATATCCAGCCCTTTAGCAGAAGATACCTGGGAGTTTCTCAAATTTCAAAGTGTGGTAGGGCACCATGCATGTCTAAAAACTGTGAATATTCAACAAGTTCAAGCAATGCAAGAACTTGTTGATAACTGGCAACTGGCTTGGTCAACATATCAGTTGCATTCTCATTAGTATGAACCTTCTGCAACAGTATCTCACCAGAAGCAATAAATTCTCTAATCATGTGATGCCTAACATCAATGTGCTTAGTTCGCACATGGTAGAACTGGTTCTTTGTAGATAAATGGCACTTAATCTATCACAATGCAATTAAACTCCACCTTGCTTAACACCCAATTCTTTTACTAACCTAGTAAATCATAAGGCTTATTTAGCATCTTCAACTGATGTCATGTACTCAGCTTCAGTTGTAGAGCTTCAGTTGTAGATAATAGTTGTAGATAATACCACAATAGACTGAACTGTTGATTTCCAACATATAAGCCCCCCACCAAAAGTAAACACATATCCAGTTGCAGACCATTTGCCATCTAAATCACCTGCATAGTCTGAATCTGCATACCCCACAACTGAAGGATTATTCTATTTACTGCCAAAAATAATTTCTTGTCCTACAGTACCCTTCAGATACCAGAAAATCCACTTAACTGCTTCCCAATGTTGCCTTCCAGGATTAGACATGTATTTGCAGACTTGACTAACAACATGAGCCAAATCAGAGTAAGTAAATACCATTATATACATCAAGCAGCCAACCACACTTGCATATGGAACCTTTGTCATGTCCTCTATTTCTTTATCTGTCTTAGGATACTATTCTGAAGAAAGCCTAAAATGATTTGTCAATGGAGTGCTCAGCAGTTTTTCTTTGCTCACTCAAACTTGTCTAGCACTTTCTCAACATAACCTTGTTGAGATAAACTTAATCTTTTTGAGCCTCTATCTCAATGAATGTCCATTCTAAGAATCTTCTTTGTAGGACCCAATTCTTTCATGTCAAATTTCTGGCTCAATAAAGCTTTCAAACCAAGGACATCATGCATATTCTTTGCATCAATCAGAATATTGTCAACATGCCGTAATAGAAAAATAATAGAACCATCATCAAGGCTCTTAACATAAACACAACAATCATACTCACATCGCTTGTAGTCAATCTGAATCACGTAGGAGTCGAACCGCTTGTACCATTGTTTTGGAGATTGTTTCAACTCATAGAACGATTTCTTTAATCTGCAAACAAAATGCTCCTTTCTAGGTTGAGTGAACCCTTATGGCTGCTCGACATAAATCTGCTCCTCCAAATCACCATGCAAGAATACAATTTTAATATCCATCTGCTCCAAATGCAAATCTGAAATAGCTACTAATGCAAACACTGCCCAGATTAAAATATGTCTGACTACAGGAGAAAAGGTTTCATCATAATGTATCCCCCTCTGCTGTGAAAAACTCTTTGCTACTAATCAAACCTTGAATTTTTCCCCTTCTTTTTCTGATACCACCGCTTTTCTTTTGTACACCCATTTTCACCCAATCGCCTTATTTCTCTCAAAAAATTGAACTAGCTCTCATTTGTGATTTTTCATCAAAGACTCCATCTCTTCAATCATTGCACCCATCCATTTCTCTTTCTTATGGCTGGTGGCAGCTCCTTGAAAGGTGGTTGGATCATTCCAATTGATGAAAAGTGCGCAAGAGACCAAGTCTTCATAAACCAATGCACTTGGAGGTCTTATATTGGTGTGTGTCTGTCTATCTCTAACTAGAGAGTAATTCTGCAAGTCATATGTATTGGAATCACCGCTTCTTTTTCTGATATTGTTGTTTTCCTTTTATACACTCATTTTCACTCAATAGCCTTCTTTCTCTCAAGAAACTGAACTAGCTCACATGTGTGATTTTTCATTAAAGACTTCATCTCCTCAATCATTGCACTCATCCATTTCTCTTTCTCCTGACTGGTGGCAGCTCCTTTAAAGTTGGTTGGATCATCATTGCTGATAAGAAGTGCGCAAGAGACCAAGTCTTCATAACCCAACTTGCTTGGAGGCCTTACATTGGTATGTCTCTGTTTATCTCTGGCTAGGGTGTAATTCTGCAAGTCATATGTATTGGAACCACTGGGTGTTTGATTTGAACTTTCAACTCTCTCAATTATTTTTAGATTTTGTTCTAAATCTATCTGCACTATACTTGAACTGGAACAATTCTCTGGCAGCTTATTTTGATTCTGCTGGACTGCTCATCAAAAACGACATCTCTATCGATCACCATCTTCTTTGCAATCGGATCTCAAAACTTGTATCTTTTGACACCTTTCTTGTAGCCAGAAAGAAGCACTTCTTGGACTTTGGATCAAGTTTTGATCTTTCACCTCCAGGTACTGGTACATAAGCAGGTCAACCAAAAATTCGTAAGTGAACAAAATTAACTTGATTACCTGTCCATACAGCTTCTGCAACCTTGTCATCCAATGATGCCCAAGGAGATCTATTGATGAGGTAGCACATCACATTTACAGCCTCTGCCCGAGAAATTTTAGGAAGCCATGCATTCAGTCTCAAGCATCTTGCTCTTTCAGTTAAGGACATGTTCATCCTTTCTGCAATGTCATTTTGTTGTGGTGTAATGCCAACTGAAAAATGCCCCTAAATCTCATGCTCCTCACAAAATATTTGAAACCGCAAATCTGTGTGCTCTTTGTCATTATCAAACCTCAAATACTTGATCTTTTTGCAGTTTGGTTCTCCACCTAAACTTTCCACAGCTTGAATTTAGAGAATACTTTAGATTTCTACTTCAAGAAATACACTTAAACTTTCCTGGAAAAATTTTCAATGAAGGTAACATAATACAGAGATCCACCCAATGATGA